GAATGGGAGGATTACTTCTGGGCATTTTTAAGAAGTCATCACTGTTTGCACAAAGGATAAATGCACTTGCTATACTAAATGTGGTTTCCCTGGTGATGGGGTGGTCTGTATTCAATGCCACCAATGCAGATCACTACCTTAAAATTGATCACCTAATAAAATTCATTAGGGAGGTAGTTTACAGTTACTGCTTCCATAGCAGAGGCTGTCCATGAATCAAGGTTTCTGATCAGACATTTACTATGGCTATGTGTGAACCATGATCCAACCAGACCATCCTGAGTCAATATCCATTTATAAAGATGGCAACTTAATTAAAGGATCTTCCCTGTGTATGTGTATCAAGTAAATATGACATTGAAATTACATGAAGCAACATAAATTCACATAGCTGGAGCCACATAAACACATCTCCTCCATAAATTAGTCTCCATAAAAGGTTTGTTTAAAACCACATTAAAATTATATTACCTTAACACAGTTTCCCTACCCAGTATAAACCAGTAGAACCGACAGCTCTTTCTTCCATAGTATGTGTGCCTGGAAGCAAAATATATAAGAATTCTAAGAAGTTTAAAAGAACAACTCTAATTTGCCAATAAATCATCAGAAGCTTAATTAAATCCAGATTTATGCGCTGCACACACTCATTTCCATTCAACAGCACGACCTTTTCTCCCATCAAGCTACAAAAATCCAAAGTCTCCCTACTGAATTAAGTGTGATTTTTTTTTTAAGTCTCAAATGTCACAACTAAAAAAAGTCCTCAGTGTACACACACACACATGCATGCACATGCACGTGTTTGGGTTATAATTTTTCAGAAAGCAAACAATTTCATGAAAATTACCCTGTCCTTGTATCAATTGAACTCGTATCTATTTAAATGTGAGCTACACAAAAAACCTGTCATGAGGATTAAAGATTTAAAAGTCAAAAAAGCCAAAAAAAAAGATACAGCAAATGTCATACATTTCCATCATCACATGCTTAAATAGTTGGAGTCAAATTCATTTTTAAAAAAAATATATTTTTATACAACAATTCCATGGTGCACACAGAGGTTCATGCCAATATCACTTTTGTCCCTGGTCACAGAGTCATCTGGCTGTACAGTCAGTCACCAATGCTACCAGAGAAGACCCAATGAACCCGACAACCCTCAAAAGCATCGCCAGGTTGCTTCTCTTACAGTTCATTCAGTTATATGAGCAGCTCCCAAGTGCCTCCATATTCCATTTTTAAAATGCTCCAACAGCTACAGAATGGACCCTTAGATCATTCTGTTCAACCAGCATGTCTAGCAATCATGCTGGGGCTGGAAGAAAGGATAGATGTGGCCTTTAACAAAAGGCTCCAGTGGCTGGCACAAAGAAAGGTGCTCAATTAGTACCTGCAGAATGAATGCAGGGGTGCATGAGTGAGCAAGTTCACACTCTAGAGCAGTGCTATCCAAGAGAAATAAAGCAAGCCAAACGTGAGACATGTACATAACTTAGTTTTCTAGTTGCACGATTTAAAAAAGGTAGAAACAGATGCCATGATTTTTAATTTTCATTAGCTGAACAATCACTTCCACATTATCAGTGGAAATACTAAGGTTGTTAAAAATGTTAACATTTTACCCTGTTTTACACTAACTTTTTAAAATTTAGTGTGCTTTTTATATTTAGAGCATAGCTCCACATTCAGACTATTCACATTTCAAGAACTCATTGGCCCCATGTAACTGGTGGTTACTCTTAGTGGAAAATAAAGAAATGGAACATTTCTATCATGACAAGGTTCCACTTGAGGTGTATCCCACTGAGTAGTAAAAGACAGAGAATTAAGGAGAAACATGCAGACCAGGGAAGCCCCAGAGTGTACAAACTACAAAAGGCCCCCTTTGCAGAATAACGGGCTTGACCTTTATCCTGGTGACAACAGGAAATCAAAAAGATGTTGATAGAAAAATGCTTTAACACACTGAGGAAGTTGGTTTCCTGGAAACAGTAAAGAATGAAATGGAAGGGAGATTGGCAATGGCCATGAAGATGTTGGACTGAGATGTTTCTGAAGTCAGAATTGGGAGTAACCAGTGCTTTGAGAACAGATCTGGACGTCAGGACCAGTCTCCAATGAACTGTCTTCTAGTGCAGGATGATACATATAAAATAGAAATTCAGTATGAATAAGTTAAATTTTATGAACAACATGTGGCCCTTTATTCTGAGATTATATGCCTTCAAGGAGGGGCATTTATGAAACAGCGATAGTCATATCACCGCTTTTAGAAATATTCTTGCTGCATAACTTTGTAACACTTTGTGGTTTCCCAGATCTAGCTTACAAGGTAAAATCCAAACTTTGAGGAAATGCTGTTTCACCTGGAGATTTTTTTTTTTTTAAATGGACATAGGATCTATCATGCGTACATTACTCTGCATATTCATTGTTTCATGTGTTCTTGTCCATGTAGCAGCACCACTAACATGACATCTTAAATTGCTATGGTTATTATCTTACATTGCTGTTTACATAGTCATTCCTATAATATATTGAATTGGACCTATGACCTAGTAAGAGGGTTATCAAAATTATTATCTTTAATTCCATAGTTTCCACAAGAGACTGTTCCAATAGGGACTATATGGGTGAAAGGCAATGCAGTTTTCTGTTGGGCTTTTATTATACATCACTAAATTGTCGTGATGTATGATACTGCCAACATTTCTGAACACCCCAACCAATAATAGGCTATAATTAACTCTCAACTTCATCAACAATGTTCTTAGCTTTTGTTTCTCAAATGCTATGAGGACGAACAGACTCCTCACGACATTGAATCCCCTGAACTCCTCTCAACCGCCTCCTATGAGGACTTTGGGTTCTGACCTTTGGTATCTCAATTCTTCATATTTTAGATAGTAACCACTCTATCTTTTAAGCTGTCCCATTATTTTCAGCCATGCTATGGAATTCCATTTAATATTTATTCTATTGCCTTTGGTTGGGCTGTTTTTCTTTTATTCTCCTGATATTCAGGCACATTTGTCTTGTATATGATGACTTTCTCCATTGCTTCAGTGGTCATAAGTTTATCTTCCCTATACAGCTGGGTTAAAAATGCTATTCCATTTTCTTCTAGTTATATTGTAGATAAACACAGTGGAACTTAATTTCAGAGTATAAAGACCTTTTAATAAGTGCAGGACTTTCTGATAGGGGCGAGATTTGCTCAGGTTATTCCCAAGGTGGATCTGGCCATCTCATAAAATGACAGCTACCCTTCTCCAATGTGGGATCACAATGGACATGATAACCAAGAACCAGAACCTTCAACTCCTTGTAGGGGAGCTCAGCACCCTAAAGTTCTCTTGACTGCCAATACTTACATCTCAAAAAGTCTCCCCCAAAATTTTCAGCAAGAAAGGTCATCAATACATAAAAGCAACCTGAAGACACATACTGTCACCCAAAGGTGCAAAAACCAATTGCTATGAAGTCACTTATTTTTAAATAATTCCATGAGAAGCTTCAATATGACCCCCATAGGCAGAAAGAGCAAAAACAATGCAAAAGAAAAAAAGCAGTATATAATCATTTATGAAATTTAGATCATAGCATAGAGATAATTTTTTACATACCTATAAATGTAGCAAAAAAAAAAATTCAGAGGTAAATTCAAGTAAAGGTGACAGTAGTTTCCTATAGGGAGGTAAGCTTATAGGCAAATTTTACTTTTGTCCTTTACATCTCTTTTTACAATATAGACTTATTCTATATACCTTACAAAGCAAAGACATAACCATTATACAGTAATTAAACATGTTTATACACATGCACAAATACCTTCTTTTAAAAACTTGACCTTTAATGTGTGTCTCCAGACTTGATTCAGAAGATTTTTTTTTAATTTCCTACCCTGGGCCAGAATCAGGCCAAGACAGCCAGCCGTCAGAACATTGCCTGGCTCATGTCATTTTAAAAAACAGAACAGCAAGGGGGAAAGATACAAAGTACATTTTATGCACATATGAAAATGTCACACCTGACCCCTTTTGTGCAATTAATATGGATTAATAATTAAACAGTTTTAGAGATACACTGCTGACTCGGGCAGCAGCCAGACCCTGGTCCAAGATCCCATTCTCCTGTGAAATATAGAGGGAGGCTCCACTACCTTCTATAAGGTGACAAGCTGCCAGGGCACAAGTAAGCTACGAGGCAAAAAGCCTCCATACTCAACTAGAGTTAGGACCAACGTCATTTTAGATGGTCTGTTCTCCACAATGGTTGCAAAGGAGTGTATGAATATTATGGATCTTGTATCCCCAAACTGATGACTTCCAGAATTAATTTCACAAGTAAAAAGAAAAGAATCTCATGTTGCTTTTATAAATCGGTTAAAGAGCTTCATGGGCAAATCACAAGATATCCTCCCATTCCCCTCCCACCCAGAGGCTGGTAAAGCCAGCTTTGTTTTACAGAAGCAGAAACTGAGGTTCAGAGCTGTTAAAAGACTTGCTCTTAAACAACAGTCTTCTGACTTTAAGATCAGCGTTCTCTTCACCATCCAACAAACCTGAGTGTCTGCGGGCAAGGCAGAACAGAGGGGAGATCAGCTCCATGTTGAACGCTCCCAAGTTTCCAAACACCTAGAACTACTTCCTGGGTCTCCACGATTTTGCACCATCTCATCTTTGCTAGGAGTGTGGCTACTTTGTAACTGACAGTACTGGGGCACCCACATTTCTGTGGGCTTGCTTTCTCTGCTTTCTGAGCTATACCAGACATCTCAACAACTTGCTTAACCTAAGCAGCAAACTTTTTTTTTTTTTTTAAATAAAAAACAAGACGATAGTCATGGCCATGTGGCTGGGAGATTGACCACTGGTCCTTTTTGGGGGAGTGGGGTAAATCAAGATGATCCAAAGGAAGAGCAATTGGCAGAGCCAAGGTGAATGCAGTTCCCAACTCCCAGGAGCCACTTAACTTCGTAGGAGAGCAAAGCCTACCTCTCTGACTTCGTGAAGTTGGCCGGAATACTGACTCTTGGCTCTTCGGGCAGCTGCAGGCGACTTGTGATGCATGACTGTGACAACACCGGGGGCCCCCGCACTGAGGTGTCTCTGGCTACAGGGAGACGCAGAATTGGGTGTTCCATGGGGGAGCAAAGTGAGACTTCGGCTTCGGGAGCTTGGAGTACTCTAGAATAAGCAACAGGGGTCAAGACTCAATAACTGACCTGCAAAACATGACCAAGGGTTGCCTTCCATTTATCTGGGGCCTCTTAATCTTCCCCTTTACCCAATTAGAAGGATGAGGCACTGTGGGGCGGGTGTAACAACACCACATGCCCGAACAGGACAGATACTCACATAATTTCCATCAAATGACCTGCTCCCATCCCTTGCTGTTTCTCCTGTCCTATGCTATGGCCATGAAGAGCTATTGAAAATGGCCCCAGGTTCTAAGGGCTCGTGCTTTATTTCCTCTTCTTGGAATACCCTTCCCCTCCTGGCTGGCAAACTTCAGTTAAACCTTCAAGACTCAGCTCCATATTCCCTGCTCTGGACAGCCTCTCCCAGCTGTTACTGGACTGCAACAAGATCATCCTCATTGTCCAGAGACTGTCGGATTTGTTCACTCTCATCTTGATATCCTCCAAGGCCCAGCAGACAATAATTGTTTCAGTACTTAAATGTTTGCTACATGAAGGAGTACACCAAGTTATCCACCCACATTTTTTGTCAGTCTAGGTGTTATAGTTTGGATGTAAGGTGTCCCCCAAAATCTCATGTGTGAGATAACGCAAGATGGCTTAGAAGTGATATGATTATGTTAAGGCTCAACCCTTGCCTTTCAGGTATTTTGTATCTGACAAGTGGAGTCTGCTGTCTGCTTTCTGATGTGAGCCACTTCCCTCCACCACCCTCTTCCACCATGATGTTCTGCCTCACCTCAAGCCCCGAGGAATGAAGTTGGCCATCTATACTTCTATACTCCGAGACTTCTGAAACCATGACACCCAGCCCCCCCCCCGCAAGAAACTCTTCCTCCTCTAAAATTGCTCTCCATTGGGTCTTTTAGTCATGGCAATGAAAAAGCTGACTAACACACCAGGGCTCACATTTCAATCTATAGTATCATGTCAACCAAATTCCAATTTGGTCAAATTCCAATTTGATGGCATCTCAACTTAGTAATTCTTATGAATTTTTCAACAACTGAACTGCCAAGCACAGAACCCAAATGGGTCAAAGATTAAGAGGAACAAAAGCACTAGAAGAAAATGTATAGCCATGGGGTAAGGAAGGCTTAACACTTTGAAACCCAAAGGCCAGAACAAAGGTAAATTTGATTATCTAAAACTTGAAACTTCTGCAGGGAAAAGGACCTCTACCACCACCACCAATAGAGTCAAGTGATAAACTAGTAAAAACTGTGGATCTGCACATCTTTATTAAGTGGATAGTTCACAGAAAACAAAGAAGGCTTAAACCATACAAAAAATACATTCAACTGTATTCATGGGGTAAGTGTAAATACATTTAGACACCATCTTTTTCTTTGTACTACTGAGGATTGAACCCAGAAACACTCTACCACTGAGCTACATCCTCATCCCTTTTTATTTTTTGAGGCAGATCTCACTAAGTTGCTAAGGCTGGCATTGAATTGTGATCTTCCTGCCTCAGCCTCCTGAGTGGCTGAGATCATAGGCATGAACCACTGAACCCACCTAGACATCATCATCTTTTACCCAAAAGATTTGGCAAAATTTCAAGCATCTCAGTGCACAATACATCAACAGGGCTACAGAGAAATGCGTTTGTGAAAGCTGGAAGACCTAGGGTGGGAGGGGGGACGGATCTGGCAGATCCAACCCAGCTGCAAATGTACTCATCTGGAGATGTGTCCTACAGACATGCTATACCTGGATGCAGTGCCACGTGTACCAAATAGTCACTACAACAGTATGTTTAATGACAAAGAATGGTAACCTGAATGTTCATCACTGTGGAACAAGTTAAATAAATGATGGTATACCTACATTTTGGAATACCACCAAGCTGTAAGAGAATACTCAAAAGTTCTCTATCAACCTCTAAGCTATACAGTTCAAATGCAAGAAGGTGCAGAGTCACAGTACTATGCAAAGTTCTGTGTCAAATGTGGAATGTAACTCCTTTCACTTTTAAAATCATTTGTTTGAAAACAAATACTCTGGAAGGATACACATAAAACTAATAAAGTTGCTACTTATTTGTGGAGAAGCAGGGGATGAGAAGTTATGGGGGGGACATTTCTATTGTACAGCTTTTTATATTTTCATTAAAATTAAAAATTTCATTAAAATTCAGACAATTTAATACTGCATAAAATTCACATTCTAATTGTTCCTATGCTTCATTTAGCTTGAGAAAAGGCAGTTGAATTATATGTAAAAATCATGCTGGGTGTTACATTTACAGAATACCTCTTATGTGCCTAGCAGAATCCTACTGTGAAACGTTAAAGGAAAAAAAAAAAAGATGTATGGGATGGTTTTCCCTATAGCTACTTATAACTTGACAACATAAGACACAGTCACATACACACACTGAATATGCAAGATAGTAATACGACGTTAATTTGGCAACAAATGTCAAAAAAGTGAGGAAGAAAGCTAGTGAATTCGGCTCAGAAACACATTCCAGGAAAAGACCAAAGTCTGCCTAGGATTTGGGATAAGAAACAAGACAGAAGAACACAAGCCAGACTGTGGTTATTCAAAGTAGTCTTGGCCTCAGGCCTCTGGCAACGGCAGTTTTAAAAATTATTAAACATTAACAGTTCATTGTTTTATTAAAAATCACTAAGATAGGGGAGTACAGTGGGAAACCCAAATAGAAGTCAGAATTCTGGGATATTCTGAAAAGCCACAACCATTTGTGAAGGTTCTCTGGATTTGGTTTACCACATAACTAACAGGAATAGAGTTACAGATGGGAACCTGGGTGCAGCTTTTTAAATAAGCGCATGGGTAGGTAATTGGAGAAATGTGTGGTACCAGAATTACATCCATCTCGATCACAATGAGCTTCAACAGCCATCTACTCTCAGCCTCAATCCTTTCGGAGTGCAAAAAAGTAAAGAGGCTATTTCCCTAATCCTTTAATAACAGTAAATTTGCCCAAGTATTAAGAGTCCACTGAAATACATTTTGAGTGTTTGAAAGGCTTATTGCTATCCAACAAAAGGCAGAGATTTTTCACCGGGCTTGGAAGCTAAACAGACAAGTTTCATTTCCCCATCTCTACTGGGTTCTAGCCACGTGACCTCGGGTGAGTTCTTTAAGCTTTCTCATTAAGCATCAATTTCCTAATCTTTAAAAGACGTATAATATTGACCCTTAAAAGCCATCATGAAGATTAAATTAGGTCATGCCCATAAAATGCTTAGCACAGAATCTGACATGCAGGAGCTGCCCAGCCAAAGTAAGTTTGTTTATATCACTTAAAACTTGATCAATAAAGGTCTTACTGATTTTTAAAATGTTAAGAAGTTGCTTAGCACAGAAAAAAAATCCTAGCAGCCACTAACCTTATTTTCTATAGGATCAAAGTGGTGATAAAGCCCCAAATATAATTTAATATTTACATGGTCAGAGATTAGATATCAAGACTGCATGAAAAATCTCACACCCCTCCCCCTCTCTCCAGCTCCTTTCCCAACCCCCCACTCTAAATTCTGAGTAGAAATGAAGACCCATCAAAAAATCAGAGGAAGACAGCTATAGTCAGACACCTTTGCCTGCAGCATATTACCATGAATGGCAATAAATCAAGAAATTCACCTAAATTATTCCACTGAGACTGTCTAACCCCTTGATCATTACTTAATGGCTGTCATTTGAATTCACAAGCAGTACATTTGAGTCAAAAAAACCTTTAATTTTCCATTAACCGTGGGAGTCTCACGGTTTAATTCACGCCCGTGCATTCTCTCAGGATAAATGTGAGCAAAAAAGTCTCGCTCTTGGTAAATCCCACAGTTAATCAGGAGAAAAAGTGACACTAGGCAGCCAATTGCAACTTCTACAAATGAGCAGGCTGTCTAAGACCTCCAGGCTTTGTTTTTTAGAATTGTGCTTGGATGTCAAAATCCTATTCTTGCTACTAATTTTAAATAAAATGTTAACAAGAGTCTGAGGAACAACATGGAAGCGTTTAGTTCCAAATGTTTACTTTGGTGGGGGTGACTTGAAATGCTACGTGTGCCATCTGCAGAAGATTCTGAATAAAGATTAACAGTTTCTTCATCCCCTACCCAGGAAGACAGTCCCTTCATGCTACTATCAGACTCATCTGGCCATATGTCCTCCCCTGGGTAAATGCCTGACCAAGACAGTGACAAAGGTGGAAGCAGGGAGGACAAGATGACACTGGGCCTGTCCAGGCATCCTAGAGTCAGGGGCCTCAGGGACTTTCCTTGCACTCTGCAATGGACCCCTCCACTTTCCAAGTTGCAAAGAAGCAACAAAACTCATGCTCTACCTACTGACCAAAACTGGCATGAAGGAAAAGCAGAGCAATCACTAGGAAGATTATGACTAATCACAGTCATCAGGCCAACAAGCCTGGGAGACAGAAGTGTCATCTAAGAAAGCTCAGAGCAAGATGTACTGACTATCTAAATGCTTCCACAGAGGAGCCATCTAGCTCTGAGAGCATGCTTTCTCAGGTCAGCTGCCTACGTTCAAATCCAGGTTCAAGTGCCGCCTGCAAACTGAGCTACCTAGTAAAGGAACATGGGTGCTTTCATTGCTAAGTTCAACATTTCCCATCTCATTGAGTTGCTAGAGAATAAGTGAGAAAATACATCAAGCATGGAGAAGTATAGGCGAATGGTTAAGTATCATGCAAGTGGAAGACATGGCCCTAAGAGCCAACACTGCCATAGACCCAAGTTAAAAAAGAATCCTCAGTACTCAACACTCGCTTCAGAGAAGGAAAAAAAAAGTGCATTTAAAATACGATCTCATTTTAAGAAGCATGTTCTAAAAAGCAAAATGCCTACAGACTGCTACAAAAGATCAATTTAAGAAAGTAAGTTTTCGGGGCTGGGGATGTGGCTCAAACGGTAGCGCGCTCGCCTGGCATGCGTGCGGCCCGGGTTCGATCCTCAGCACCACATACAAACAGAGATGTTGTGTCCGCCAATA